CACCCTGAGCGCCCACTTCAGAAACATGGTGAGCACAGGGCCTGGCCTCAGAGGGAAGGTCCGGCCCAAGGCTGAATCCTCGTAACCAGCCAGAGTCTCCCTGTCCTCTTCTGGCCTCCTGCCCTGCAGTCGCTGAAGAGAATCAAGCGCGCTGACCGACGGGGTGCAGAGTCTGTGACAGAGGAGAAGTTCACGGTCCTGTTTGAGTCTCAGTTCAGTGTTGGCAGCAATGAGCTTGTGTTCCAGGTGAAGGTGAGGCCCCCCACACCCGTCCCCATAGGTCACCCAGAGAGGTAAGGGACCTGTCTGGTGGATTGGGGAAAATCAGAAATCTCTGACACCTCTCAGTCTCAACGCAGTTATCCCACCCCGCGGTCAGAAATCCCACTCTGCAGGCACCTGTTTGTTGTATTATCACCTGGCGCTGGCCCAGGCAACTTAGTCAAGGACTGAGGAAAAAAAAAAAATGTGTGTTTTGGGTCAGCTTGTGCTTAGCATTTGTTGGGAAGGGCCTGTGCTTGGAACTGTGGGTAAGGAATGAGGGCTGGGAGTTTTGTCTGGGCAGAGAGCAAAATGGTGCTCAGTCCCTTTCACCTTTCATTCCTTTGACTTCCATAGACCCTGTCCCTCCCTGTGGTTGTCATCGTTCATGGCAGCCAGGACCATAATGCCACCGCCACTGTGCTGTGGGACAATGCCTTTGCTGAGCCGGTGAGTCCCTACAGGATTTCCACATTGTCCCCCTGGGCCCCAGAGCTCTCCATAGGGTCAGCCTTCACTCCATGGGCCCCTGCTAAAGGGGGTCCTGACCCCAGAACCAAAGTGAAGCTGGATGAACAAGTGCCCTGTTCTCAGGCCTGTCTTGGGGCTGTCAAAGTTCCAGGTTTCTGGACTGGACTCTCTAGAGTCCATGAGCCTGCTCTTTGGTCCCTGGTCTCTGAACTTTGTTTGCCTTATGGCTGGGATGCCAGATCCCTGGGTCTGGGTCTCCAATCCTGCAAGCCCCCTCTCCCTGTTTTCTTCCTTCCTTCCTTCCTTTTTTTTTTTTTGTGGGGGGGATAACCAGGGGTTGAACTCAGGGGTACTCGACCACTGATCCCCATCCCCAGCCCTATTTGGTATTTTATTAGAGACAGAGTCTCACTGAGTTAGTTGCTTAGCACCTCGAAGTTGCTGGGGCTGGCTTTGAACTCAAGGTCCTCCTGCCTCAGCCTCCTGAGTTGCTGGGATTATAGGCATGTATGTCATCATCCCCCCACCCCACCTCACATGCCCAGCTCCTTCCTCTCTTCCCCCTTGTGTTTCTGTCTCCTTTCTGGATTGTCCTCCATCCTCTCTCGGTCTCTGTGTGTCATGTGTATGTGTAAAAATTTCCAGCTCTCTCCATCTGCCTTTTCTTCCCATTTCTCCATCTCCCTCTCAGGGCAGGGTGCCATTTGCCGTGCCTGACAAAGTGCTGTGGCCACAGCTGTGTGAAGCTCTCAACATGAAATTCAAGGCCGAAGTGCAGAGCAACCGCGGCCTGACCAAGGAGAACCTCGTGTTCCTGGCGCAGAAACTGTTCAACAGCAGCAGTGCCCACCTCGAGGACTACAACAGCATGTCTGTGTCCTGGTCCCAGTTCAACAGGGTGAGGAACCTGGGCTTCCAACTGCCTGCCTGAGACTACTGGGGTCCTGTCACTTCTCCTCCACATCAGGGATAGGCTGATGCCTGGGGCTAGGGTCCCACCCTTCACCTTCCACCCCCAAGCACTTCTTCCTACAATCAGGAGAGATGGGGGCTTAGACCCCAGGAAATGCAGACAGGGGCCACAAGGAATTGCACTCAGCTGTGCAAGCTGGAGCAGGATGGTGGAAGGAACCTGGGGCTGGGGTTCAAGTACTAGATCTGTTAACTAATTTGCAGGCCCATTTGACCCCCTGTGCTTCAGTTTCCCATCTGTCACATGAGAGGGTGAAGCAGAAATGTCCTTGGAAGGCCATCCAGCCTGGACAGTGCTTTACAGCACCCACCCCCAAGCCAGGCGAAATGACATGTGCCTGCAGTCCCAACAATTGGGGAGGCTGAGGCAGGAGGATCGCAAGTTAGAGGCCAATCTCAGTAAATTAAGCGAGACCCTGTCTCAAACAACAGTTCACCCTGCACCAGGGGGTCGTGTGGGACCCTTGTGTCTAGAAGCATGGGGCAAGTTCACTCTGGGTGACTTGGACCCCAGCCTTGACTCTGGGTTTCCTGGGGCTCTCAGGAGAACTTGCCAGGCTGGAACTACACCTTCTGGCAGTGGTTTGACGGGGTGATGGAAGTGCTGAAGAAGCACCACAAGCCCCACTGGAACGACGGGTGAGGAATAGGATCACAGAGCCGGGAGGCAGGGGGACAGCCTGGGGACACCAGCTGTCAGCCCAGCAGTAACATCACATGCTCCATGCACCCAGGGCCATCCTAGGTTTTGTGAATAAGCAACAGGCGCATGACCTGCTCATCAACAAGCCCGATGGGACCTTCTTATTGCGCTTCAGCGACTCGGAAATTGGGGGCATCACCATTGCCTGGAAGTTTGACTCTCGTGAGTGCCCACATCACCCTCACTCCTACCCAGGGGCTCTGTCGCCCATGTCCTTGCTCCCCATCCTCCTTCAGGCCTGTGTCCTCAGAAGGCACCTACTAGGAAAAGCAGGAACTAAGCTCGGCGTGGGAGGAGTGTTGCTTGGAAATGTAACCACTTCCTAGCATTTTTCATCTTGGAGAACCTAAAATTGCTGGCCCCACAGACTCCAGAACTGCTGAGTGGGTCCCCAGATGTTTCATGCTGTCCCTGCTCTGCCATGGTTGGCCTTGCTGGTATCTACTTGCCCAGTTTGCTAAGTAGAATGTTCCAGTGTCCGCTTTCCCGTGTGAAAAGGCATGCAGGCTGGGATCGATCGTAGTGTGAGAGAGGAAAAACCCAGTTTTCTCTGTGAGCCCTCCTTAAAACCCCATAAGCCAGGGCTGGGGCTGGGGTTCAGTGGTAGAGCACTTGCCTAACCTGTGTGAGGCACTGGGTTCGATTCTCAGCACCACATATAAATAAATAAAGTCCATTGACAACTGAAAAAAAAAAAAAAGTTAAAGAAAAAAAACCCAAAAGCCAGATGTAGTGGTTCATACCTGTAATCCCGGTGACTTGGAAAGCTGAGGCAGGAAATTCACAACCGTGACCTTCTCCTGTGGGAGTAGCTTGCGGGAATGAGGTTGTTCCTTTCACAGCTGACCGCAACCTGTGGAACCTGAAACCATTCACCACGCGGGATTTCTCCATCCGATCCCTGGCTGACCGACTGGGGGACCTGAGCTATCTCATCTACGTGTTCCCTGACCGCCCCAAGGCTGAGGTCTTCTCCAAGTACTACACTCCCGTTGTAGGTGGGTCCTGATGCCTGACCCCCTGGGCCTTTCCCAAGCCCCTGAACAGAGCCATAGGGTTGGGCAGTGAGGGTTCCCCAGGAGAGACCAGATGCCGTTTCCCCTGTAGATTTTGGTCCATGGGACAATGAAGAGGACCTCAGGGCTCACAACTGTGGGAGAGGAAGTGAAACTTGTACTAGTTTTTTTTTTTTTTTTTTTTTTTCCCCCTCGGGCAAGCTAAAGAAGCTGAATTCTCCCTTTGCAGGGTTGGGGGAGAAAGCGGGATGATTCCCATCCTCACAGACCTCTGACTTTCTCACCACGCCCCACCCCACAACCTGCCCCCAAGTTGAGTGTAGGAAGCAAAATGGACAGGTTTCTCCCCTTCAGCCTCCCCGGGCTGCGGCTTCTTGTTCCTGTCTCTTGTCAGGGGTGGGAGCAGGAGGAGGGAGAGTAAAACCAGAAAAGGAATCAGAGATGGGACTAAAGCCAGGGGGTGGTGACCCTCAGCAGGTGTTTTTTTGTGAGTCCTTGGGAAATCTCACTCTGAGAAGGCCTCAGGGTGGTGCGGACAGGAGGCGGAGGGCATGGCAGGGCTTCTTCTACTCACATGCATCTCCCAGAGACCTTGCTTTTCTTTCCGTCAAGGGGGCAAGGCGGTGGACGGGTATGTGAAGCCACAGATCAAGCAAGTGGTCCCAGAGTAAGTGTCCAGGGCCCAGCTGCAGGCCTCCTGCTGCCTCTCCCTTCCCCACCCTGACACAGCCACCCCTAACCCTGGGCCAACATCCCTGATCCCCTGAGAAACCTGGCTCAACCCTGGCACGGGAAGGGACTAGACCTGATTATGCTGTGACTGACATCCAGGGCTCCATTCCCATAGCTGGGGACCTTGGGCCCGGTGGGACACTTTGTCCTTGTACACCTCAGAAAGGTCCTTAAGATTTCCCCAGAGCCCCTGCCCAGGTCAGCTGCCAGCCAGCCCCCAGGCAATGGAGGCCGTGTTCTGCTTCCCTCTGCAGATTTGTGAACGCAAATACAGACGCTGGAACCAGCGCCACGTACATGGACCAGGCCCCCTCCCCGTCTGTGTGTCCCCAGGCTCACTACAACGTGTACCCACAGAAGTAAGTTGTGTTCTTCTGGGGTCTATGGGGAGGAACTGGGCTCTAGCCTTAGGCTGGAGGCCTGGAGGGCTGGTGGGACCAAGGAATCTGGAGCTCCTCTAGGTCTGCGACCACCAGGCTAGGCCTGGGTGGGTAGTTTTTTTACACAGGTGAGGCTGTTGGAAGGGCTTGATTCAGGGTAGCTGTGCATCAGAGGGGAGCAGGGTAGAAAATGGATCCTTTCTGCACTGTGGTGGCCTGGGAGGAGCAAGCAGCAGTGGGACCACCACAGGCATGGCAGTCAGGTAGCTTACACCATAAAATGGAGTGAACACCTGCCTTAAGAGGCTGTGAGGATTGGAACAAGGTGGCTAAAAGCTTTTTGTGAGTCCTCAGTGAAAGATGTGTATGAGGTCATTGAATGGCATTGCAGGTGGGTGGAGTTCATCAACCCAACCGCTCCGCTTACAGATGAGCACAAGGAGAGGGACTCTCTAGATCATGCTGTGAGGTAGCAAGAGATTCAAATGAGCTGGGCATGGTGGTGCAGGCCTATAATCCCAGTGGCTCTGGAGGCTGAAGCCTGAGGATCGTGAGTTCAAAGCCAGCCTCAGCAACTTATCAAGGCCCTGAGCAACTCAGTGAGATCCCAGTCTCTAAATAAAATATTAAAAAAGGCCTGGGATGTGGCTCAGTGGTACCAAAAAAAAAAAAAAAATGCAAGTGGAAGTGGGATGTGACCCAAAGAACCAGTGAGTGACTGCTATCCAGCCTGGAGGAAGGGGTCCCTCCAGAACTGTGTCTGTCCTCATGAGACACTAGGATGAGTGGGAAGCAGGCTGGGGACTGTCCTGGAGGACTTGGGGCTAAGAGACATGCCAGTTCCCCTGACATCCTTCTGTTCACCAGCCCGGATCCCGTCCTCGATCAGGATGGAGAATTTGACTTGGATGAGACCATGGATGTCGCCCGGCACGTGGAAGAACTCTTACGCAGGCCCATGGACAGTATGGACCCCCGCCTCTCCCCGCCTGCCAGTCTCTTCACCTCTGCCAGAAGCTCCCTGTCATGAATATTTGAATGCCACGCTTCTCTTTGGAAACAGTGTTCAATGTGGAGACTCCGTTCCAGTTGTGGTCGCAGCACTGCTGTGTGTACTGATGCCTTTGTGTGCATGCGTTTGGGTACGAGGTGTGCCCGCCTCGCCCTTGAGTGGCTGAAGCAGTGGTGGCCTTTTGGTTCAGATCAAGACCTCCAGGAGCCCAATGGGTCTGTCTGTCTCATGCAAGAGATGGAGCTTCTGTCATTGTAGGTACTTGTTGCAGGCAAACCTCTTCCTCTCGTGTCCTTTATCTGCTAGTAGCTATTTAAGTGAAATTATTCCAGAAAAGGAAAGGAGACAGGTAAATGTTCTAAGCTGCAGTTTTACTCCTGAGCTAGAAGCTTCGCCCTCCTGATGCCTGTGCCCATATATGTACACAGATGTACATCTGTCCCCATGCACATATGGTGGTCTAACTGATGCTTTCCCTCCAGAGGGAGGCGGAGGTTCATTCTTGATATTTCATAATGTAGTGAATGTGGACTCCAGGTTTTTGGTGAGCCCTCTGAGAGCATGTCTAGGCCGGAGCCATTTCCTAACACAGTGAAGTGGGTTCATTTGAACCAGAGCTATTGGAGCTGCTCTGAGCATGTAGTGTCTTTTCCTCTTGTACTTGGGTCCAGGCTGTGGAGTTCCCTGCAATATCCCCTTTTCCATCCTGCCCTGGGCTTCTTTCTTGCCTCTGTTTGCAACCTTGCTGATGAGAAAGGAGGAAAAAATTCTTTCAGGACATGGTGGGTAAACAGAAGGCCTGAGATTTGCAAGGCTGATGCCATCACCTGGGGAGAGGGGAACTGCAGCAAGGGACAAGCTGCCACCTCCCAGTTGCTGCAGGCCCATGGAGTCTAGAGTGAAGAGTTAGAGCCGCTCCACTCTGCTAGGAGGTGGAATCTGGAACAGGCCTCATGTCCAGAGAAGGCCTAACTCCAGTCTCAAGTGCTCCTCCAAGGTTACATGACATGCAGCCAGGGCAGCTGACAGCAGAGATTGGGAGTCCCAGGTTTAAACCTCTCTGAAGGGAAGTGGGGACAGAAAGATGGATTCTTTTGTACTTTGTACATAGACCACACATTTGTGTAAACAGTGTTTTGGAATAAAATATTTTCATAAATTTTCTGTCTTCCTCCTGGTTTGGGGGACTGGTGGTGGTCTCCCTGGCTGATGACAATCACTAGAGCTGGAGTTGTTTCGTTCCTATGTGGTCTATGCTGTAAGTTTTAGCCTGAGACTGCAACTCTGCTCCCCTCTCTGTCTACTCTAGGAGTCTGACCGCCCCCAGAATACTGTCAATGCTTCTCAGGGGGCTACAGCCCTAGGTAAGGGGGCACACATGCCCAAGAACGCAGAGGCTTGAGGTCTAGAGAAAAGAAGGGGAAGGACTCACTGGGGGAGGGGGCCCATAGGATGGGCAGAGCTGAGCTCTAGACCCCTCTTTTATCTACTGCTGCTAAGAGCAATCTTGAAGCTGGCATCTGAGGGTCAGTGTCAAGGTGATTGTCAACCCTCCTGGGGCCAAGGCAGCTGAGAGCCAGTAGGAAAGTCCATCTTCATCTGGCCTCTTCCCAGAGACCAGCAGGTGGCACCATCCAACTGCCGCTCTGGCCTGAGCGTGAGGAAGGCTGGCCAGGGAGGAGAGAGGACCAGCTTCCCACCTGTAGGCTTCCTAGTCCCCAGCTGTGGTCAGTCTAGGAGGTGAGGCTGGGGCTTGGAGTGTGGGGTGGGGGAGTAAGGAACTGTGGACAAGTTTATTCAGAACTCAAAGCAGGGTTGGGGGCAGGGGCTTACAGTCTGTCCCAGGGAGGTGCAAGGGCCCAGAGCAGGCTGGCAGGCGGTATAGGGTGGGGGTGGGAGAGAAGGCAGGCGCCACCACCCGCCCCAGCCACACTATCTCTGGTTGCATCTCTGCAGGGGAAACGCAGTATCTCACACTGGCTCTGTTTTCATGGCACTGGGGCCGTGAGTGGGGGCAGGGGGGATGCTGATGCAGAGCCAGCACTGGTGTTGGTGGCCTTTCCCTGAATTATCGCCACTGACCGCCCAGGGGCCCCACAGCAACCAGCTAGTGAAATGTCTGTGTGTTGTTCCCACTGAGTGAACTGAAGAGAAGGCGATAATGGGAAACTGTAGCCAAAGGCCTTGGGAGGGAATCTACACCCCAACCCCCCTTTAGGTAGCTTATCGGACCCCAGACAGGACACAGCAGCTTTGGGAGGGAGGAGAGAAGAGGGAAAGGGCTGCTTTGACACCTTTATGTCACTGGACTATGACCCTTTACTCCTGGGTTACCTCTCACCTGGAGGCTAATGGCTAACATAAGATGGGGGGGCCAGGCATCACCTCAGGAATGAGAGGTGAAGGGAATCTCAGTCCTGGAGCTGGGGCCTCTTCCTCCCAAGGCCCTCTTGTTCCTACCCCAGATGGGCCTGAGTGGAAGACCCCCTCCAGACAGAAGCAGGGCAAAAGGAGCCTCGTCAGCACAAATGGAGCTGCCACGCTATTAGACGGTTCCTATATAATTTTTATTTCTGGAAGTTAAAGTAGATACAGCAATATACAAAAAAAAAAAAACCACAATAATATAAATTTTTACACTAGGAAGTATACATTGGAATTCGAATGCAGTGGCTAGGGACAGCAGCTTACAAACCACGGGAATTCCTTGGCTTGGCTGGGGACCGGCAGGGGACAATAGACAAAAAATGGGCAGGTCCTGAGGACTCTGTTTTTTTGAAGGGGGGGGGCCAGAATAAGACTCAGCTCCTGTCAGAACTTTTGCTATATATAATCAGTTAAAACCAGACGAGCATGCTACCTAAAGCCATGAACTTTATAATACTTGTTCCAGAGAAGCCCAAGCCCTTGCCCTAGGTCCCTAGGGATTAAACCCAAAGGTAAGCCCCAGCCTCACCTTTCTACATATTCTCTCAGTTTATGAGTTCAGCTTATTGTATACTGAAGAGTGTTACTGGAGAAGGGAAAGCTCCCTACACAAATAACCATCTTGAGGCCAGAGGACACAGGTGGTCGAGGCAAGCCCTGTTCATCCTCACCCCCTTAATCCAGGCTATAGTTAATCTGGGTCTAACAAACAGAATTCCAGACAATCTGATCAACTGAGGCAAGGTGGTTTTGAGTCACCAAATCCAGCCATGCCTCTTGGTCAGAGAAGGCCCATGTCGCCAGCTGCTAAGCGTTCCAAAATGCAGGGCGGAGGTGTGCTGACAGGCGGAGGCAGGCACTGACAGGAAGGCCAGAGCAGGTGCAGGCATTCTCATTGTTCTGCCTCACCCGGGGGCCCCAGAGGGGGCAGACAGTCACCAGCTTTGGGGGAGGCCAGGTGTGTACATCTCACAGGAGGGACAGACCTTGATTTTATCAGTCAGCCTTGGCCATATATTAACAAGTGAAGAAGGGGTACAGGTGCCTTTGGATGTCACCAAGAAACTGGGATAAGAACCATATTCCCTGAGCTCAACTAGACACTTTGCTGGGGACCTGGAGTCTGAGTCATGTTCAACCTATAACTTCTCTCTTTTATCTCCTGAGGTCCCAAGACCAGGATTCCTAAGAAAAATGGAACAGGGGTCCTTTAGACGAGGGAAGGAGCTGTGCCACTAGCAGGGATCTGTGGGAAAGGAAGCCAGGGGATCCTAGGCCTGATAAGGAACACGAAAAAACAAGCTGGCTCTGAACAAGGGCCAAAGTCCAAAGAGAAAGGGAGCAAGGATTTTCAGGCCCCCCTCCCAGCCTTACCCTCTAGCAGGCCAACACACTCCACGGAAAATAAAATAACAAGAGTCTGGGATGTTTGGTTCTCCTCAACCCTCCCCGTTCAAACCCAAGAGCCACGCCATAGCTTCATTGTCTTTTAAGGGTTTGATCTGATACCCATTTCAGGGTTTATATAAATTATCAGCCTGAAGATAGCTGAATGCTTAAAGCACCAAGGAGGCCATGAACTGAGTCTTCTTAAATGCAGAAAGGCTATGCTGCTACAGTGTGTTTTGCCCTTTAATTATTATTATGTTTTTAATTTAAAAAGAAACCTAGGGGTTTAGATAGTCCTATCTTCTATTTGGACGTTAGCAAGGTTAAAAGTGCAATGCCAAGAGTACGCAGCTACAGGCAGCCTGTGGCATTAGCTCACAGAAATGGGCAGAAGGATGCCGATGGCACCAGGAGGCACTTGTCTAACAACAAACGACAACAATAAGCTGCTGAGAAAGAGGGCAGGGGGAACAAAAGAATACAAGACATTTCCGTTTTTCTCCCGCTGGCCACCCCCTTCCATGCCCCCATCATGGTCTCAGAGAACGTTCTTCTTTGCATTTAGATAAAAGCACATCACCCACACTCACTCGTTTCTCTATTTTAAAAAGTGCCCAGATTGCTCAAAGATAGCAGAAGTAGGAGATTTGAAAAAAAAAAAAAAAATCTGGAACCACAAAGAGGAGCTTCAGATGCTCTGGGGTTTGGCTGCTTAAGGGGCGGTGGAACACGGGTAGGTGCCTCAGTCACATCTCTGCAGCTTCCGTTCTCGCTCCTCACATGGGGGAGGTAGCACACTCCGAGGTCAACTCCATGTCAAATGTGAGGGACTCTGAAGAGAGAGAAAATGCTGGTTCAGCCACCTGACCCTGAAGCAGGCAGGGCACATCCCCCCAGCCCTTCAGGGGACAGGGCTCAGGTCACCATGCTCACCAGTCTTCTGCCCCTTCAGGCCAAAACAGGGTCAGAAAAGCCAGATTTCCTCCCCTTCCTACAGGGCCCTGCCCTCTGGAAGGCTCAGCTTCTTTCCTACCTGACTCATTCCCAGCTCTCCATGTTTCAAGAAGATCTAAACATGGCAGCCTTAGGCACCTAGTGCCTAAAATGTGACTAGTCCAAATCAAGGTGTGTTATAGTTGTCAAAAGCCTACATTTAGAAGACTTGGAATAAAAAAAAATAAATGCAAAACTAATTTTTTTCTTATGTGTTGAAATGACAGTACATCAGATTTACTGGGTTCAATAAAATATATTGTAAAAATTAACTTCATCTGTTGCTTTTTACTGTCTTCAATAGGGCTACTAGAAAAATTATATTTATATTCATGGTGTGCATTCTGTTTCTGCTGGAGAGCTCTAGAACCTCCTCCTACCAATGTGGTGACAGGCTCTGTACACATCAAGATCACGGAAAGTGGGCTGACATGCCTCACAGGGACAAAGTCTGAGCACCAAATACTCACCAAACTGCCCTCCTGCTGAGGGCTCAGCACCTTCACCATTATTTCCAAACTGCATCAATGAATCTAAAGTGCGGGGGGACATCGGCAGGTCAATGGTATTGCTGCAGGTCGTTCTGTAGGAAATGGGGAGCGGCAGGAGGGGAAAGGGCCGGGTTGACAAGACACAATGGAGGAAAAAAAAAAAAAGAACAAAACACACACACACAAGCCATCAAACTCTGGTCTCCAACAGAAAAATAAAAGCTCAAGCTTTTTAACACACAAGGTCACTCTGAGTGCTAAACACAGCCCAGGAGCTTCCAACCCTTCATGGGATACTCTCACCCGGTGTCCTCCCTATTCCTGGGGGATAACTGAGGACATCAGAAATGAATGCAACATTTGGGAAAGGAAGCCACTTACGGTGTCACACAGATAAACTTGGTCTTCAAGTATGGGGCAGCACCTGAGAAAAAGAAAACTGGACTTACTGATGGTGACCTATGTGTACAGGACTGAAGGAGCTGTTGGCCTCATTGATGCAGACATGAAACTCCACCCTTATACAGATTGTCTGAAAACCTCCATCTGACCACAGGGGTTGCCCTTCCTCATCACGTACTATTTGATGTCTCAGGCATTTGCAGGCTGAAGTCCAATTCTTCATACACGGCTTTGCCGAGCTGCAGAGACTGTGGTGTACCTTGTCTCACCTGAGCCTAGACTAATGGCAACCTTGTGTTCAGTTTTTCCCTGGATTATATAAACATTCAACTGTCTCCATGTGGTCTGAAGACTCTCCTCTTGCCTGGTCATATCTCTTAGATAATTTCTCTGCCTATAGGAACCAACTCTATATAGACTTGGCATAGTGTTCCACCCAGATACCAACATGACCCAGTATTTAAGAGAACATGAAAACAATGGCTTCCCAAGCTGAGGGTTTTATTTCTATTCCTACAAGCACTATAATCTGCCTCTATCACACCTTATTTTTCTCTTTCTCTTTCTTTCTTTCCTGGGAATTGAACCCCAGGAAATATAGCTCGGCCACTGAGCTACATCCCCAGCTCTTTTTATTTTTTGATACAAGATCTTGAGAAGTTGTTGAGGGCCTTGTTAACTTGATGAGTCTGCAATTGTCCTGCCTCAGTCCCCTGAGTTGTTGGGATTATAAGTGTGTGCTACCACACCTGGCTTCTTGCACACTTTTCTAGGAGGATATTAGCAATCTCCCAGTTGGATAAATACAATTTAAAAAAAGGCAGCCTATATACACAGGGGAGATGTCATGTGGTGAAGTACAACTGATCCAACTAGAAGTCAGGAGACCAGAGAGCCCAGGGACATCTTCAATAGCTAAGAGTCCTGGGGCGAGGCACTTTCTCAAGTAGAGGATGAAAGAGGTTCTGATCATCTATAATCCCAGTCATTTGTAATTCTGATTCTTTTTTTTTTTTTTAATTTTTTAATATTTATTTTTCAGTTTTCAGTGGACACAACATCTTTATTTTATTTTTATGTGGTGCTGAGGATCAAACCCAGGGCCCCGCACATGCCAGGCGAGTGCGTTACCGCTTGAGCCACATCCCCAGCCCGTAATTCTGATTCTGTTGTTAGAAATGTGACAGTTAGAATCAATGAATTTTGGATACTGAATGCTTGCACTAAGAAGTCCAGGAGCCTTGAGAACCCTGGCAGAAGTCCAGGACCTTGAGGATCCAGGTGAACAAACTACATAGGAGGCAAGGTGTTTGAGTCAAGAAAAGCACAGACAGACACATGGGGGGATGGACAGAGAAACTGAGGGATCAGATGCATGATGAGAGTCTGAGAGGGCACCAAGGGGCAGCCTGTAGGTGGCTAGCCAAGTTTACTTTTTGACCAAGAAATAGGTTAAAATCAATACAGAATCCAAAGAAACTGTGGAGGCAGGGTTCTGGTGTCATAAATTCAACTCTTTTGGTCCAGACCTGAGAGGAGCTGACATCCTAGAGAGAAAAGGATTTCATTCTCCAATGATCAAGGGAGCTGAGAAAAATAGCTTTACCCTAAGAGAGAACTGTGGAAGCCAAGAACTAAAGCCCAATAAAGAAGAAAAAGCTGATTTACATGTGGCACCATACAAGGTTGTGAATGTACTTTATCTAATTTATAAGTGGCTCAGAATCCTTCCTTCAGGCCAAAAGAAGATACTGTGTGGGATTCTGGTGGAAAAGTAAGGAGGAGGGAAGAGTCCTGGAAAGAGGATCTATCTCTGAGAAACTTTCATACCATAATGCTCTCAAGATGGAAAAAGAGAAGAAATGGTCACAGGTTCACCTCCCTGAGAGTCTCATTTGAAAGTTCCTATCCTCTAGCCACACTCTTGCCAAGCTCCTGTGCTCACTCACAAGGCAGGCACATCTTAGGTAGTTAGTTTCTTTATTGTGATCAGTGCCTGGCCCCCAAGGGAATGTCTCCTGACAGGAAAGGATGTGCCTCCTGCCCATAGGATGGATGGAGATGGAGGATGCAGCCTCAGACTGGGAGCTGGGATCTTGAAAGCAAAATTAGTCCAAAGGACCAGCACTTAAACCTCAATGTCCTGTGCAGAAAGAACAAAGAGTAGTGTGAGAAAGGCTGATAAACAGATCTCCTAACTGAAACACAAGGTGGAAAGAGAGATAAGCAGTAGACAGGAAGTGAAAGCTAAACTCTTCCACACTATGAACTGAACTCAATACCAGAACAAAGGGAAAAGGAAAGTCAACTGTCAACGAGCTCAAATTCCCTCTTCCAAGTCTCATTTCCCCCCACCCTGAAAAATCCTTGGAGGGAATTCCTGTAAAAGGGCAGGAGGGCAACCAGTGGGGTTGTGCGTGTGTGCTATGTGGACAAGAACAGTTTTTTGGTTTTTGTTTTTTAAATATATTTTTTTAGTTGTTGATGGACCTGTATTTTATTTATTTGTATGCGGTGCTGAGAATTGAACCCCGTGCCTCACACATGCTAGGCAAGTGCTCTACCACTGAGCCACAACCCCAGCCCAACAAGAACAGTTTTTTGAAAAGCAACTGGGGCAAGGAAGTCAAATCTCCAAAGGATTACTTTAAAGAACCCACTGTTGGTTCTATAATTACAAAACATTAAATAAAGGGCTGGGGGTGTAGCTCAGAGCACTTGTTGAGCAAGTATGAGGCCCTGGGTTCAATTCCCAGCACCAAATACATAAACGCAAAGATTTGGCAAATTGAGGCTCCTCATCAGGATGTGGACAGAGACTAGAGAGTCAAAGCAGCAAGCACTGAATGGGAACAGACCAGAGGACTCTACCTCCTCTATGCTTGGGACAGCCCCAGAGACTAGAGGCTTAATGTAAACTAACTTATATTTAACTTTTTTACTACATACGCTCTTGCACATTGAAAAATTTCTTATTTTTAATAGCTGTACATTCTAAATACCAATTTCACACCCCTCTCACCAGTTTTTGTTCTCCCCTACGAACTTGACACTCCCCACTCTGTCGCAAACCAGGCTGCGATGCCACTAAGGACCATCTCCTCCAGCAAGCCCTCCTTCAGCTCACCTGACAGTGGCCATGCATTTAGTGATAATAAAAGAAAGCACACCAGACCCAAGGCAGAGTCTCAAACCTTCCGATATCTACTAGATAAGAATTATTTGGACATTTGCCTGTCTATCCTCTAAGACTTAATCTTGTAGTTTCCAACTTCCCCCAAGAAGTAAATGCCATAAATGTGGAAAATCAACAACTACCTGGGTCAGCTTCAGGATGCTCCTGGCTTTCTGGCCGACAATACTTTCCAAATGCCTCCTCCTTAGGAATGTCAGGGTAGAGATAGACCAGTGGAGAAACCAGGATATTGGTAGCGTCCATGATTTTATAGCCCATGATGATTTCAGCAAATGACATATTATTCAGTTGCTGCTTGGTATATGGTTCCACTGACTGGATCTGGGTCTTTCCTAATGGGATTTGGGAAGGAAAGATAATGAAACCCATAGGCAGTAATCTCAGAGAATATGGCTTGTTTATCTTTTCTGAATGAAGAGTTATGTCAGCCCAGAGTTTGATACCCTGAATAGCCATCCAGTTGCAGGGCACTGTGAAAACGTTGAGATCGACTCTCCCCCGACTCTCCTTTTTCCTTTGTGGTACTGGGAAGTAAATCCAGGGGTGCTTTACCACTGAGCTACATCCCCAGCCCTTTTTTTAAAAAAATTATTTGTTTGTTTGTTTGTTTTTTAATTTTTAGACAGGGTCTCACTAAGTTGCTAAGGCTGACACCAAATTTTTGATCCTCCTGAGTGGCTCAGGTCACAGGCATGTACCACCATGCTTGGCTTAGGCTGACTTTGAAAGGCTATTTAGTTGGTTCCCAGGCTTAAGATATATTAATAAGTTAGGGAAGAAAGGAGATGGGATAAAGAATAAAATTTAAATCTCAAAATTTAAATCTCAAATTAAATCAACAAATATCAGCCACTGGAGCAAGCAACCTGACAAAGCAATTCTTCCACTGGGAGAATCTGAAGAGAAGTTACTCAACTGTATACAAAGCCTGGGATCAGAAGAGGCAAGTTTGAGGCCATCTACAACCTCCAGGGGGCAGTCGGTGCTTGTGTCTATAGTGTCTAGTAGCAGCCAAGCGGTGACAGCAGAGCAAGAGCCAGGGGTAGGGTAAGCAGAGCCAGGCTTACCACTGATGTCCTTTTCCACCCAAGTGAAAGTGACTCCTCCTTCTTTGCTGCTTTCACTGAATCTCAGCAGGAAGGTGCCTGGGGGCTTGGTGCTCAGGATGGCCCGCTCCCGCTCCTTACTGATGAAGCCCATTATGTACCTGGAGCCAAAGAGGGGCAACCACATTGTTAGAGGGCATCCCCAGCCACTGGCTTACTGAGAGAGCACACGTGACATGTTCGCACGGTGCCCTCTGCCAGGCAGGAGTTTCAACCTACCCTTCATTCCAAAGGGCCAAGATGTACTTCTTCACAAGGTCAATGATATTGTCTAGCCAGACCCAGAAGGAGAAGCCCTTGCCAGCCATGTTTTCCTAGGGAAAAGAATAATAGGAAAGCTAAGTTCACCACCATCCAGCCTTTTCCCTCTTGGAACACAGTATACCTCCAAAGTCCTTCCAGCCCATTTACCCTCCAGGAGGTCCCACTGGCTGCTGGAGGAAGAGTTCAGATCTCTAGGCTTCGCGTCCTCTACAACTACCTCCCAGATGAGCATTCCGCTCCCAAGAGGTGACCACAAGAATTTAACAAGATCACTTACTTTGCAAAATTTAGCCCATGTGATCTGACACCCTGAATAGTTCACACCAGGTCCTAAAGGAAAAAAAAAAAAAAACAAGTAGAAAAGTTTCAGCTTTGTTCAAGATCTTATTTCTTAAAAACACAAAGTACATATATTTGCCCCACAATGGGCCAGGAACCACTGGCTTTCACGTGTGTGAAGGTAGCCATTGTGTGTGCATGCCTCCGTACATGTTTTGCACAAACACACATGCAAACACATATGCCCATATCTGTCACCTGATTCCCACACCCGAGTTGCCCTTTAGCCCAGCAGAGGGTGGGTAAGTATCAAGCCCCCATGCTTTTCCTAGCCTGCTGTGGTGGTCTGGGGACCAGGCACACACTAACCAGCTCACAGCTAGGATTAGAAGGTTGCATTTTGTAGCAGCACAGGACAAAGCTACTTTTAACTTTGAGTCTAGATAACACAAAAAATAGTCTACTTAAATTTTTTTTTGAGGGGAGAAAACTTAAAACCTAGCCTGAGTTTATTGAAGAAATGGATGGGAAATGTCAAGCCTTTAGTTCCATCCTCTAACACACACCTAAGGTATCTTCTAAGGTCAGACAGGGTACTGCCCTGGAAGGGCAAAGAAGACAGCAACCAAGAGAAAAGAAATCTTCCTCCCACCTCATAAAAAGTGGTCACCAAGATGCAAACTTGCTAGGTGCCCTGATTTCCCAACCTGGCACCAGCAGGGTGCCTTGCTCAAGCCCCCAGGCCAGATTCCTGGTCTGAGGAGGGCAGCGGGGTGAATAGGCAAGATGTAGACCTAAGAGTTTCTCTGCCAGCGTGGTCAGCTGCTCGATGCTCAGGCCTCGCTTGGTGGTGGAGGAGAACTGCCAGCTCAGCACCTCAGCCACTTGATCCCAGGTTCCAATTGGGGGCTTGGTGAAAAAATTCACGTTCTATTGAAAATAACATATTTGCTCATTTAGATGAGAGGGTAGTGCTAATGACCTGCCTCAGGTACCAAGAAGTTACAAGAGAACGTGGTTTCCAAGAGGTTGGGACACTAACCTTCGGGTTGTTGGTCAGCATATTATACCACAGGATCGAGGCCCAGGCATTTGGCATCTGACAGATGTTGGAGATCACCACAACTGGCAAGGAGTGGGTCTGTGGAGTGTGTGGGGGATGAGTTAGGGAGGCAGAGGAGTTTTCACAGCTTCCAAAATCTCCATATTGCACAGGTTTGGAGTAAAAAAAAAAAAAAAAGCACACCTGCTGATAATTCTGGGGGAGGAGGAGGAGGACAATGACTCTCACTGAGTCAGCACAAGGCCCAGAGGGAAAGCATGCCAAACCCAGGCGAGGGGCTTGGCTGGGTCTGTACCAGTAACTTGTACAATCTGACAGCTCAAAGCCTGACTCAAGCCCCAGATCCCACCCTCCCCACTTTTTTTTTTTTTTTTAAGGAGGAAAGATGCATTTTTTTTTTTTTTGAGGAAAGATGCATTTTGACTCATGGTTTCATTTTATTTATTTATTTTTCTGTGGTGCTGAGGATCAAAGCCAGTGGTAGGCAAGCACACCCCCACTGAGCTGCAACCTCAGTCCCAGATTCCCCATTTATAAGACTTGGAAAAGAATTCTCCAAAATCCCAAGAATCTGCATTTTCCCATGAAACACAGCAGACTCAGAAATCAAAGCCTAGGATTCCTGCTTTTCCTAGTCTAATTCAATTTAAAGATCCAGAAGGCATGCAAAAGAATGCAAATGCCGTGATTTTCTGCATACTCAAAACAGTGGCTGCTGGGGCTGGGATTGGCGGTACAGCACTTGCCTAGGACGTGCAAAGCCCTGGGTTCGATCCTCAGCACCACAGAAAAATAAATAGATAAAATAAAGATATTGTGTCCAACTACAACTTAAAAAAAAAAAAAAAAGTGGCTGCTAAGGATTTTGCCCAAACTTTCTACAGTTGACCCTAATCATTTTCTAAATACAGTTTCTCATATCAAGTCTGCCAAAAGTCAAGTGTTCACACGTTTTCCTGAGCATTCGAGCAAATTTTATTCTTGGATGGGACACCAAGAATCTTTTGGAGGAAAAAAACTAATAAATATTGTACTTAGGAAACTGTGATCATTCCACCTTCTCTAGTAATAAAATCTCACTAGACCTTCTTGTCCTGAGTCACCCCTGCATGTAAGGCCACCCCAATTCTGCGGAACTTACCTCTAGGTCGATCTTGAGGCCTTGGTGATACACCTCAGTCTCAAAGGTGATCAGGTGCAGCTCCTCAGTCACAATCAGGGAGGCCTACAATAGCAAGAAAGACACTCCTCTTCAGAGAGAAGGGAACTTGGTATCAACAGCCACAGTCTTAGAAAGTGACACTCCACAGCCTTACTATGCAAAGAAGGGTGAGCCATAGGATGGCCACAGACAAATTGCCAAGGACACACAATGAGCACATGCTCTCTTTAATATGTGGACTCTCCGATCCTGACCTTTCACTTGGTTTTTATTATAATATCGTACAAATCCTACAGGTTACTTATAAAGGTGTAAGGCATAAAAAACAACAAAATAATGGACACTCCTGCCATGAGCGGTGACAGATGCCTGTCATCCCAGTGCTCAAAAGGCTGAGACAGAAGGATCACAAGTTCAAAGCCAGGCTTGTAAGACCTAGGAAAAGGCAAAATAAAAACTAAAAAGGGATGGAGATGGAGCAAAGTGGTAGAGTGCTATAGGCTCAATCCCTACTTAAAAAAAGAACATCTGTGAATCTGCCGCCCAGTTTGTTGACTGGATTTTCTTTCTTCTCTTCTTCTGTTGTTGTGGTTGCTGTAGTGCTAGAGATCAACCCAGGGCCTCATGCCTCCTCTGCCACTGAACTACATGAACTACACCCCAAGCCCTACCACCCAGTTTAAAAGACCATTACCACTGAAATTCTGCAGATGTTTTTCCTCTACTCCATTTCTTTCCATCTTCCTATAGAAATAACTGCCATTTTATTTTTGGATTTATCATTTCCTAGCTTTTCTTTACAGTTTATTTATTTCTCTAAACAATCCATATATTGTTTAGTTTGAGAAGATTGTATACTTCAGACAGATGGAATCCCACTCTGGATTCTTTCTGGCTCACTGAATTCAATGTGAAATTTGTGTGGGCACCTGCCATTTATTCTTTTTCACAGTTATATAGTGTTCCATTATAGGAGTACACCACAACTCAGTTTTCCATTATAATGTTAATGAGCACTTCTTTAATTTTAAGTTCTAAATTAAAATTAAGTAGCACTGATACTTTGTAAATGTCTCCTGCTACTCTAATGCAAAGATTTCTCTATTGTTGAATCCTGCGAATACCTCTGCTTGTTTATTGGGTATAGTTTTTTTGTTTTGTTTAGTAAGAGTCAGAATCTCACTATGTTACCTGGGTCGGCCTCAAACTCCAGGGCTCAAGTGATCTTCCTGTCCCAGGCTCCTGAAGAGCTGACACTTTAGGTGCATATGCCCAGCTATGTTCCTTTATTATAATGGCAAAATATTTTCAAAAGTGACTAACAATATTTACTCCCACCAGCAGAACAGCAACCTTATTTTTTTGTTTGTTTGTTTTTGTCTTTGGTACTGGAGATTGAACCCAGGGGTACTCTGCCACTGAGCTATATCCCGAGTCTTTTTTATCTTTCACTTTTAGACAGGGTATCACTAAGTTGCTGAGGCTGGCCTCAAACTTATTATCCTCTTGCCTCAGTCTTCCAAATTGCTGGGACAACAAGCGTGTGCCACAACACCCAGCAGCACCTAATTTATTTATTTATTTTAAAATATTTAGTTTTTAGTTGAACACAATCTATTTATTTATTTATTTATTTTTGGTGGGGCTGAGGATCCAACTCAGGGCCTTAAGTGCTCTGCCGCTGAGCCACAACCCCAGCCCCATAAGCAATCTTATTTTTAACAAGAGTTAAAAATAGAATTACAATTTTTTTTTTCCTTTTTGGTGCTAGTCCTCAAGTTTGCTAAATATATGCTTTATTCCTGAGCAACATCCCCAGTCCTTTGAATTTATTTTTAAAATACTCCTTTTCTGATTATGGAGGTAGTATATTCTGTTTAATACGCAAATATAACAGATAAAATAGCCTTGTCTATTAACATCATCACTAATATATAAGCTCTGTGGGTATATATTTCTCCAGAAGTTTTACTTTTGAAACAGGCTCCTTAAGTTGCCCAGGGTTGTCTATACTCCTGGACTGAAGCAATAAATCCTGCTTTGGCCTCCTAAGTAGCTGGAGCTATATACATGGGCAACCATGCCTGGCTTCAGAAGTTTTAAACATATGTGAATACATGTAAAACCGTGTAATGCATTTTTTTTGTGTGTGTACTGGGGATTGAACTCAGGGCTCTCTACTATTGAGCCACATCCCCAGCCCTATTTTGTATTTTATTTAGAGACAGGGTTTCACTGAGTTTAGCATCTAGTTTTTGCTGAGGCTGGCTATGAACTTGCCATCCTCCTGCCTCAGTCTCCCAAGCTGCTGGGATTACAGGCATGTACCACCACATCTGGCCAGTGTATTTTTTAAAAATGCACTACTCAAATTATTTTACATCTTGCTTTTCTTTTTCTTTTTTGACTGCTAGGGATCAAACCCAGGGCCTCATACGCGCTAGGCAAGTGCTCCACCAATGAGCTACAGCCCCAGCCCCAGTTTTGTTCTTAAAAACATTTGATACATTTACACCCTTTATTCCATCTCATTTGGAAAAACAGGCCAGTAAAAATGGAGCCAGCTGGCAAAAGATGGAAGGGAATTTGGAAAGCCCCAAGCAAGGTGGAAAGCGTCCCTCCTACCAAGTGGGTGTGGATAGCAACTCAGCAGGGGACTTTCCACTTCTCCTAAATGAGAAGCTAACTCCCCAGACACGTGAAGAAATGCTCCAAGCCAGAGAACTCCACTGCATACGGGCCTTCTGAATACCTCAGGGTGGCCGACAGTGACTTTTCTGAAGTAACAGCTTAAAGCCTCTAATTCTGGGCAATAAGAGGACTCTCTGTCTTTCTCTCCCTCAAAAGAACCCCCCCTCATTGGCTTTCATACCCAACAACTTACATCACAATTGGCGCGGCCCCCATTTCCACATCTTTGCTCTCTGAGGGTCTGTAAAAAAAGGAAAAGTCATATGAAGCTGTCCCAGACCTTCACTTGGCCAGAGGCCCTATGTGAAGACGGGTTCGGGCTCCTCTGACATACCAAGTGCTTGAATTCGGCAGAGAGGCTGCCATTGTTGGACTCTTCCATGTTCATCACTTTTGTGTTTGTGCCCAGAATGTTAAACTTCCGGGATCTGAATCACAGGAGAAAAACCAACCACAAGGGTGACTGAGTGGCCAGAGGATAATGTTAGATTAAACAAAACAAAGGAAGCTTCTAGGCTTAACTTACCCTCTGAGAGCTGCAACGTCCCCAGAGTCTCTGTTAAGAACACAGATTAAGATTGGTGAGAGGACAGGCATTTCTTCAAAGATCCTACTCTGTATTATTTACATGGATGGTGCTCCTGGGAAATTCTTCAATTTAGTTACATTTTAGATGTGAAACATAAATCCCTGTACATGCTTAAGTAATAGACACTCCAGGGGAATCCTGGTCTTTACATTCATCAGAACATAGCATGCACACAAACCAAGAGTCTAGAGGTGAGGACATGATCTACTTATAATTCTATTCTAGGCTGGACTTATATTTTTCTATAAGATTCAGCTGAACATGAGCAAGAAAGCACATGACCTTAATTGCTGCAAGCAACCATGTAGCTACCCAGAAGGGAAATTTGGAGGGCAAGAGATGGTTAATAATGGCAGAGGAGAGAGACAGATCTTGGATCCTTGAGGACTTCTATGAGTCACTGATCTCACCATCATTGAGAACTTGCCCAAACTCTGCATTTCCAGTTATACTGGGTTGCAAATACCCTAACTTAAGCCACGCTGGATTTTCTATAAAGGTCTGCTATTTCCTATAACTCAGAGCAAGCACCTTTTTTGAGAAAGCTGAAAATATTCTTCCAGTGTGATCACTCTATTTTAAAATTCTGTTGTTGAATATATCATTTTTTTAAATATTGATTTTTTTGTTGTAGTTGAACACAATACCTTTATTTTATTTATTCATTTTTATGTAGTGCTAAGGATCAAACCCAGGGCCTCACATGTGTGAGTTGAATGCTCTTCTGCTGAGCCACAACCCCAGCCTGAATATATCATTTTTTATATAGTCACATTTCTTAGTCCCCCCGCCCCCTTTTTTTTAATTGGGAACCATTTTAAAAGTTCTTCTCTATTGTTATATATTTACCTACATATACAGAATTAATAATAGGTACTGTTTGTTAAATAGAGCATTTTATGTGTGTTTATAAGAGAAAACTGATTAATTTTAAACCATTCATAAGACTTCTTTCCATACATCACATCTTATTACTTTGTTTATTTGTTGTAATCCTGACAATTAAACCCAGGATCTCAAGCATGCTAAATAAGTGTTAAGCTACATTTCCAGCCACCACACATCACATTTTAAAACATAACAGTTCGCATGATCAGAAAGTTCCCCCTCATGCCTAACTTATGCTTATGTATTTATTCATTTATGTTTTTATTTGCAGTACTGGAGTTGAATTTGGGGGCGATCTACCAATGAGCTACATGCCTAGCCCTTTTCTTTTTTCTTTTCTAATTTATTTTTTAGTTGTACACAATACCTTTATTTTGTTTATTTATTTTTATATGGTGCTGAGGATCAAACCCAGGGCCTCGCATGTTCTCTACCGCTGAGTCATAATCCCAGACACCTAGCCCTTTTCTTATTTTTTATTTTGAGACAAGGTTCTTGCTAAGTTGCCTAGGCTGGTCTTGAACTTGCAATCCTCCTGAGTTGCTGGAATTACAGGTGTGCACCTGTACATGTATGTATGTATGTATGTATGTATATAACACACATATATATGTATATATATGTATGTACGTATATAGATATGTATATATTCCTTTTTTGTATTACTATTTTGTTGTATAATTGGCAACCAATAAACTCTGCTGTTTAAAATGTGCAATTTTTTTAGTTATAATTGGGCACAATACCTTTATTTGTTTATTTTTTTTAATGTGGTGCTGAGGATTGAACCCAGCACCTCGCACATGCTAGGTGAGCACTCTACCGCTGAACCACAACCCCAGGCCCTAAAATGTGCAATTTGATCAGGTTAATTTATGGATATATATATACTATGTCCAACTGTAAAACCATCAGCACAATCATGGAATGTATCAATCACCCTCAAGGTTTTCCTATGACCATTTGTAATCCATTTCCCAGGCCTACACTCTACTCCGCCCTTGGCCAACCACTGTTTTCTGTCACAATAGATCATTTACATTTTTAGAACATATATATTTTTATATCTCTTTTTGGGGGTCTGGTTTCTTTCTACTCAGCATAATTATCTTGAGATTTATTCAGGTGTTACAGCTATCAATCAAGCTTTGCTTTTTGTTGGTGATTATATTCTGTGGATACATACAAATCATTTATTCATTCACCTGCTAATAGACACTTGTGTATATTTGCTTTCATTTTTCTTGGGTTAATACCTAGGAATGAAAGGACTGCATCATATGGCAGATGCAGGTTTCACTTTTTAGGAAACTGCCAAACGTTCTTCCAAAGGGGTTGTGCCATTTTCCCATTACATATTTATTTACCTATATTCTCAAGATACCCTTATTAAATTCTAAATATGCTAGAATCTATTCATACAGACTGTTAAAAGTAAAATTTGAACCAGGTGCAGTGGTGCATGCCTGTAATCCCAGTGGCTCTGAAGGCTGAGGCAGGAGGACTGCAAGTTCAAAGCCAGCCTCAACAATAGTGAGGTGCTAAGCAACTCAGTAAGACCTTGTCTCTAAATAAATACAAAATAGAGATGGGGATGTGGCTCAGTGGTCAAGTGCTCCTGAGTTTAATCCTCAGTAAAACATAAAATTTAAACTTCCCAATTGAATCCTTAATATCAAAATCCCCCAAAACCACCTGCTGAATAATCCATCTTCTCTTCACTAAGGTGAAATTTCATTTTTTTTAAGAGAGAGTGAGAGAAGAGAGACAGTGAGAGAGAGAGAGAATTTTTAATATTTATTTTTTAGTTTTCGGCGGACACAACATCTTTGTTGGTATGTGGTGCTGAGGATCGAATCCAGGCTGCACACATGCCAGGCGAGCACGCTACCGCTTGAGCCACATCCCCAGCCCCTGAAATTTCATTTTTAAACATACTAATTCCCATATAAACTAGAGGTCTATTTCTAGATTTCAGGTTTTGTTTCAATGATCAATCAACTTATTTCTGTCCTAGTTAACACACTAAATTAGTAACTGAAACTTTGTGTCACATTTTAATATCTAGGAGGGCAGCTTCTCATACCACTCCCTCTCCCAGGTGTTTTTAATTAAAAAAAAAAAACTTAAGGTGGATATGGTGGCTCATGTCTGTAATCCCAGAGACAGGAGGCTGAGGCAGCAGGATTACAAATTAGAGTCCAATCTCAGCAACTTAGCAAGGCCCTATCTCAAAATAAAAAAATAAAAAGGGCTTAAAAAAAAATAGAATAGTGGTTGCCAGAAACTAAAGGGAAGGGGAAATGAGGGGAAGTTGTTCAATTGGTATGGAGTTTCAGTTTTGCAAGATGAAAAAGCTCTAAAGACCTATTGCACAACAATGTGAAATACTTAACAAAACTGAATTGTATACTTAGACATGATTATTATGGTAATCTTTACAATAAGTATTATATTTAATACTAATTATAAATCTTTTTATTTAAAAAATAAATTGCTATCTTTTTCATAAATAAATTTGTTTACTTTTTCAGCTACAGTAAGAAGATAAAGAAATCTTTTTCAGCTAAGATAATAGAAAAACACATTATGGATTTTCAAGAACACTATTCATATTTTGGTTGTTCCTATATTAACTAGGAAGAATCAACAACTATACAGTAAAATCAGGAATATGACTTTTCTCACTTTTTTTAAAAAAATTAGAGTATTATAGTTATACATATAGTTGGGTTTATCTCATCACTTTTTTTAAAATGTTTATTTTTTAGTTTTTTAGGTGAACACAATATCTTTATTTTTTATTTTTTTTATGTGGTGCTGAGGATTGAACCCAGTGCCTCACACAGGCGAGCACGCTACCACTTGAGCCACATCCCAAGCCCCTATCTCATCACTTTTGAAACCATCATTTCCTCACTAAAATTTCAGCTTTCTTCAAATAGATCATAAATATTTCTGTTAATTTATCGTAATATATTTTTAACTTCTGTTGTTTATTGTGATATCATGTTTCTATTAAAAAGCTAAAACAAGGTTAGTTATTCATTATTGCATATTTATTATACCTACACTTTTGTCAATTTCCTTGATTTCATTAATAATTACTTTCCAGTTTATTCTCATGAAATTTCCTGATAATTATATTACCTAATAAAAACAAGTGTACATTTTTTTTCTAATCTCTTCAAAGGATAAGTATATTTTAGATTTTGAAATATTGTCATTATATGGTACTTTTTTTTTGGTGGAGAGGTTGCTAGAAATTGAGCCCAGAGCCTTTTACATTCTAGGGAAGCACTCTACCACTGAAGTATATCCCAAGGCCCAGGAACATTTTTTTAAATCCATTCTTTTCATATACTATCCATTTGGCATATATGTATAAATTACATTTATAAATAAATACTAAATAAAGAAAAAGAAGGACTGATGGTCACAGCAGCTATCCCAACTCAAGTCTAAACCACCAGCATTGTTCTGGCATGAAAATAATATACTACAAGGCTTCTGGAAACATTTGTTCACAAAACAAAGATTTCTGAACAGAGATAGTCTCTACCATCAAACTATATCTTTCAAAGTTCTCACTTCTCTGTTCCTCATTTGAAAAAAAAAAAAAAAAGGACCAGGGCTGGGCTCAGTAGCAGAGTGCTTGCTTAGCTTGTGTGAGGCCCTGGGTTCTATTCTTAGTACTTCATAAAAAAATAAACAAATAAAATAAAGGCATGTTGTCCATCTACAACTACAATTTTTTTTTACAAAAAAAAATTTTTTTTTTCTAAAAAAGAACTATGTTTAGGAATACTTACTTGTCAATGCACACTTTAATCTTAAGCTGATAATTCAACTCAGGGAATTTGACCAGCAACCTATTAAAAAAATAAATAATTATTTTTTAAAAAAGTCAGTATGCTTCCCCCACCTCAAACCTCCAGTTTAGATAATGTAAAGTTCATAATTCCTCATTTCTAAGAGGTAAAGAAGTCATAATCCCAAATTCATCCTCCAGGCAAGGCCATCTTTGATCTTTAGCTGAACATTACCCACTTTGGCCAAAAGGTATAGATAAAAAGCCTAAGAACTAAGGACTTAGTCAAAGTTATAGAAGTTTCACAAAAGGATAATAAAAAACATTTAGTGAAAAATATCACAGGAACATGCTCTGTAGCTGGTATTATTTTTATTAAACTTATAACTCAATACCAAGCTGAAGGTGATTCATATCTGTGATCCCAGTGACTCAGGAGGCTGAAGCAGGAGGATCACAAGTTCAAGGCCAGCCTAGGCAACTTAGTGAGATCCTTTCTTAAAATAAAAAATAAAAAAGGGCTGAGGATGTAATTTACTGGAGAATGCCCCTGGGTTCAATCCCAAGTACTACACACACACACACACACACACACACACACACCATGCTGGCAAATTTCATACCCACAACATCACTGCCTGTGAGGCCTGAAAAAAACAACCCTGAAAGCAGGTGCAGTGCTGGTGCCTACAGTTCCAGCTACCCAGGCCAAGGTGGGAGAACTACTTGACTCCAGGATGTGGAGACCAGCCCAGGCAATACGGTGAGAGCCCATGTCAGGACAAAACAAAACAAAACACCAACTCTGACTCTAAAGGTATCCTTCAACAAAACTTCCACCCAAGCAGAAATGCCATGGCCTACCTGACTTTAGTGGTGAACTGGACACCAGTCTTGATGACTAGCGGCCGGTCAGGATGCATGGGCATGCAGGGCTGCCGCTCAACCACAAAGGCACTGAAAGGGAAAAGGTCAGCTTGTCACATACTACTGTGGTAACAAGTCTTTTTTCTGATCCTCTGAAGTCAGTTAATCTCTCACCTCAGGACATTTTTTGGGGGGCGAGGGGATGAGAGAAGGTGACAAAGATTTTAAGTTACCTTTTCATTAAGTTTCTGAACAGCTCCACGATTCTCTCCTCCAGCATTGGCCGGTGCTGTACAATGGGGTCCCCTTTGTAGGAAACCTTTTGCTGCAACTCCTCCAGTTTCTTGATTTGCTGGCGGGTCTGAAGTTGGGATTCTGCTAATGAGGTGATCCTGCCAGTAAAACAGGAAAGTTTCTAGTTACCTGGTAAATAGACACAGGTGGGAATGGGAAAGAGAAAGGGAGGGGCATACCATAGGTATAAATACCACTAAGAAAGCCCCTCAAATAACAAAGAGGAATTTTCTTCTATTGTGATAAAACATACATGGCATAAAATAGACCATTTTTAACCATTTTAAGAATATAGTTCAGTGACATTAAGAAAAAGGAATTTATTTTGCTTTTTTTTTTTAAATAATCCCTTCCTAAAATTTCGAATTTCAAAGATGGGACTGGACATAAAGGAAGAAATGTTAAAATTTGCAGCATTAGGAGACATTGGTAGAGTCATCACTGGAACATGAAAGCATTAGACTCCGATTCGGTGGATATGAACTATAAAGATTGGCACTCACTTTAATCATCCTAACTTGTCCATATGTCAAAATGTGAAACTGGGAACTAAAGGAGAATAGACAGCCTAAGAAGACTTGGATTTAAGCCAAGCTTACTCCTGTGCAGGTTTGGACAAGCCTCTTCACCAGGGTAGGTCTGGTGCAGGAAGGAAAGGAGTCGATGTGCATGATTCCCACAAGCCCTTTCAATGTCAACTCTCAACAGATATTATGCTTCAAAATGTTAATAACATGCATAGAGAAAAAAATGAGCAGAGAATCCTGTGGTGGTGCACACCTGTAATATCTGCAAATCAGGAGGCTGAGGCAGGTAGATCACAACTTTGAGGTCAGCCTCAGCAACTTAGTGAGGCCCTAAATAACACAGAGAAACTGACTCAAAATTTAAAAATTAAGGGGCCAGGGTTGTAGATCAGTGACAGGCATGAGGCACTGGGTTGGATCCCCAGCACCACATAAAAATAACAAATACAAAAATAAAGTTAAATTTTTTTTTTTTAAATAAAAAGAACTGGAGAAGTAGCTCAGTGGTAAAGTACTGCTGGGTTTAATTCCTAGTACCAAAAAAGAGATTGTACTAACTTTGAGGGCCTATGGTTATGACCATAATTCAATTCAGTTTCTAAAAGGAAAAGAAATGTTTCTCTTCCAACTGTTACCAGTTTTCCAGACGATCCAGGCAGATGTTAGGAGGGCCTCCAATGCAAGCAATCTGTTGCCGCCTCTTCCAGTCAGCCAGTTCTTCGTCAGTAAGCGTTTTCTGCACATACTCCATTGCTGACAAAAGCCCCGCCAGTTCACTCACGATGCTCTGGTTGGAAACCAAAACAAAGTCAGAAAACATTTCCCCACACTATCTCTAACCACATTCTTTAGTCAGTTCCAGAGAAGGAACTTATTAGAAACCAGTTCTGCCACAAGACATGCAAGGCACCAGGGAAGCTGTCCAAGGCGCTTACTCTCCGCATCTGGTCCAGCGCTGTGAGCATCTGCTCCAGCTGCTGCATCTTCTGCCTAGTCACGGACTGGTTGTTTCCATTCAGATCCTGCATGTCTGTAGGCAAAGGAAAGACCCCTTGACCAGAGGGAATACTCTCAGCCTTCAAAATAAGGCTTCGGAGCCAGGTGCAGTGGTGCCCGCCTACAGTCCCAGCTATTCAGGAGACTGAGGTAGGAGGATTGCAAATTCAAGGCCAGACTCAGCAACTTAGCAAGGTCCCATCTCAAAACACAGACAATAAAAGAGGTACCATTAAGCAGCAGGAGTCCCTCACCTCCCACCATAAAGCCTAACAGAGTTAAGACAAACAAAGTCTTTAAACTCACTTTCTATGGGAGATTTTAACGTCTCTAATATTCACTTGCCTCCTTGACTCTTGAGGGTTTTATAGTTGAAATCAAAGTCATCCTGGAGATTCTCTACCACTTTCATTTTCTGTTCTAGATCCTGTTTAAAATAAATCAAAAACAGAAGTAAAATTTAAAAAAGGTTTCCTTGGGAAAAAAAATTTCTGAGAAGAATGAAAATGTGCACGCAAGACCCACTCTCGATATCCCCAATCCAAGCTTCTCAGCCAGGACCTACTTTACCTGTACTCGCTTTCGAACATCCTGAAGGTGCTGCTCCAGCATCTGCTGCTTTTCCGTCACCACAGCAGCTGTGGGGTGGTTGGCCTGGCCCCCTTGCTGCCAAATAGTGGGGTAAGCACACATATGAACACACAGAACATGGGGGAAGGAACACCCCCATCTGGCCTCCATCCCTCCCTACTACCCTTCCTTGCTATCCCCTGCCACTAGGAGAGGAGAGGAAACAGAGGCAGCGTAACTGTGGGCAGGGTGCCAAGGAATCCCTCATGTTTTACCTGTGTCACTGGCTTTTTACCAACAGATCATACTATATACCCACTCTGGATTGAACTAGGAGTCCACATGTTGAACTAAGACATGGTCCCTGCCCTCAAACAGTTCATGGGTAAGGATATAAAGAAATTTCAGAACAGGCTGGGGTGTAGCTCAGTGGTAGATTATATGCTTGGCATGCTGGGTTCAATTTCCAGCACTACAAGAATAAATAAATTCAGAATACCTGATGATAGCAGATGTCAATCTACTGAAACATGGTGTGCAAACATTTCTGTGGAATAAAAGAGCCATCCTGCCCTAAGGATGAAATTCCGTATCAACGGATGTGCTCTCAGGGGAGAAAGAGAGGCTAGTACCTTGAAAAGATCAATTAGTCCATAACATTTTAGGATTTGCTAGGTTTTGAGAAAGAGCAGTAATAAAAGATCATGGACAGAAAAGACCATGTAAAAGCCAGAGATCAAGATAGTGTGATAGTGGCCCAAGGACAGAGATGGCAATGAAAGGGGCAGATTTGAGAGTTCAGAAAAGATGTTATCTACCCAGGATTTCAAGCTAGAAACCCTTAGGCATCTGATTTCTCCCTGATTTCACACTGACTCATCAACCCTCCTGGTCCATTCCCTGCAATCTCTCAAACCGACCTTGAGTATCAAGGGCTCAGTTCAAGCCCCAACTGCTGTTCTCTTTGCTTCTAAACTCTCTTACTTCCAATCTGTTCTCTACCTTTCTACCAGAAGTCTCCAAAATAGGTCTGAACATGCCAGTTTAAAAACTCCCTCCCTTTCCCATGTCTAGCCAAGCAAAGATAATACAAACTTCTTAGAAATCTTGGGAGGGCAACCCCTGCCCCTAGTTACTCTCCCAGGGGTGGGAATGACTCATTTATTGGTAAGATTGAGAGAAAGACTCTCTCTGTCCAGAGACATGTCAAAGAGCCCAGTCCTGGAGCTTCTGCCTGCCTCTCTCACTGTTGCCTGCCTCAGCTTGCTTGGGGTAGGAGCAGGTCCTGGTTTCTAGAGGTCTCCTTCTTTGTATTCAGCAGGTATCAGTCCATGGTCTCTTAAGCTTTGTAACCCCCCTTCTCTCCACCCCAAGTTCTAACTCGGGCAACAGGTGTTAGAAAGACCCTGTGGTTACCAGTTTAAGCCATGCTTTCCAGTCTAGTTCTACCAGAAATATAGCTATTTTCATTTGCATTTGGCTCCCATGTCCTAGTTCTCAATTGGTGCTGTCTTAAAGGGAGCAGAACCCAAAACACAAAGATATTGCAAACAATCTGATAACAACTTAACTTGCCCTCTCCATGTCTCAGTGACCCCTAACCACCCATTCTTCTCTGTGTACAGTGTGCTCCCACACTTCACTTCCTGCACACACTATCCCCTCAGCCTGGTGTGCACCTCTGCCCAAGTACCCGTGAACTTGTTCACCTTCACTTTCAATTCAAAGGTTCACTCTCCTGTGAAATCCTCTACAACTTCCTTGGACAAAATGACTCACATCCTCTTCTGTGTTTTTCTCACCTTGAGTATTTGTGCATAATCTAACTAGCTTCAGAGCCCCTAAGTAGCAGGGATTACTTTTTTTTTTTTTTTTTTGGTACCAGGGACTGAACCCAGGGACACTTAACTAGTGAGCCATATCCCAGCCCTTTTTAAAAAATTTTGAGATGGGGGTATCACAAGCTGCTTAGGGCCTTGGTAAGTGGCTGAGGTTGGCTTTGAACTTGTGATCCTGCCTCATCCTCTGGAGTTGCTGGTATTAGAGGCATGCACCACTGCACCCAGCAAATTGTATCTTCTATTTCTTTATGCTTTTACCTATGCTGGGCATTTAAGAATGTGCCACATGATATAAATGGAGAAAAAAAGAATGAATCCTGGACTGAGGCCACAAATATCCAACTTATAGCTCTCTATCAGAGACTGTGAATGTTTTCTCTTAGGGCCAGATGATGAATGTTTTTTGCCTTCTGGGCCACATAGTCTCTGCTTCAAATACTCAGTTGTGCTACTGTGGCATGAAAGCAGCCACAAATAATTCATAAATGAATAAATGTGGCTGGGTTCCAAAAAACTTCATTTATAAAAATAAGCCATATGCAGCAGCACTGCCATGCCTACAATCACAGCCACTTGGGAGGCTGAGGTAGGAAGACTACTTGAACTCAGGAGTTGGCACCAGCCCGAGCAACCTGGCAAGACCCTGTGTCTTGGAGATGTGGGGAAGAGGCTAGATTTGGGCCTTTGACAGTTTTCAGACCCTGGGTCCTACAGGACTAAGAATATTCTTTTGCTTTCCTACCTCCCATGATAAAGTTAGAGCCTCTACTCAAATTGACTTACACCAAAATGTTTTTTTTTATCTTGGGGAACAGGATGAAGACATAAAGGTTCTCATAATACATAATACACACAGGCAAGTGCCTCTTAGCCTCTCAGGTTGCAGGTATGGAACAGTGAGTGTTACCAGTGTTAGCTTCTCTTTCACCCACATCTGAGTTCTTTAGTGGGTTCCCATTTCTCACAGTAGTGGTGATATTGGTGATGTTGATTAATAGCAGCAGCAAAAGGCAGTTAACACTTATTTCACAGTTCTGTGCCAGATACTATTCCAAGCATTTTACACGTATGAAGTAATTTAAGTCTATGATGTAGGCACACTGTCGTTCTCTTTAGAGAAAGAGTGAGTAAGTAGTTTTCTTAAGATGCACAGTAAGTGGTAAAGCAGGAGGATTCAAACTCAGGGAGTTTGGCCTTTGAGATGAACTGCTCTTCCAAAGCCCAGTTACTAGGTGTGACTAATTAAAAACACTTTCATGTGGTCCCTGAGTCACTTAGGTCCCCTCACCCAGCCAGATATTGAACTTGCTACCCTGCTCCCAAGAACATATGTGTTTATGTTTCCATCTCTGAACATGATCTTCTTTGAACCCAGTGCTCTCTCATCATCTGTCAGAGTTAGTTTTAAGGCTCAGCTCAAACACAGCCTCCTCTTTCTGTGATGCTTCCCCCACAATCTAGGTTGACTTAGATGATCTTTCTTTTATCACCTTAATAAATTGTTCTATTAAAAAAAAAAAAAAAACGCCTGGAAGGGTGGCCCAGCCACTCAGGAGGCTGAGGCAGGAGGATCATAAGTTTGAGGCTAGCCTCAGCAACTTCGCAAAGACCTAAGCACATTAGTGAGACCCTGTTTCAAAATATATTATATAAAAAGGGCTGGGGATGTGGCTCAGTGGTTAAGCACCCCGGGGTTCAAATCCCAGTACAAAAAAAAATTTAAAATATCATGGTGTTGGCTTTCTTGGCAGGATGGGTGGTATAACGCTTTTAATGTATTTTTCAGTGTATTTTTATGGCTACTCTATTTTAAATGTTTTTCCTTTGTTCCGAAATAGTTAATATTGCTTGTGCAATTGTTTGATTTTCTGTTTCTCCCAATCTGATGCTGTTTCTTCCTGGGTCTCACCTGGGCTGCAGTGGCTGCAGTCTGGAGGAGGCGGGACTCTTCCCACAGGCACCTGGCCACTATTCGAGCGATCTCCATTGGCTTCTCAAGATACCTACTCTGTATGTAGGAGAGAAAGACAATGAAAAGCTGCAGCAGACTTTGGAGATGTGGACTGAATTTTGTTAACTTACAACTAATTTCTATATAAACTGAGGAAAGCCTTATATGTACCACGTGAAACAACAGCTGAAGGCCTCAAAGCCTGGCAGAAATCAGTGGGGAAGATGGGAAAAGAGAAGAAGAAAGGTGGTTACAATGATAACAGACAGCATATGAGCCTGGGTCTTTGGACAGTATGTTACCCTGGTCTTACAGGGAGGTACCTGATTTTGTCTAGGAGTATTAACTTTCTGGCCAAACTTTTTTTTTT